TGTTTAAAAAATAACTGTTAGTGATTTTTTTAGTTATAGCTTCCTATTGAATAAAAAAAAAAAATCTGGTGTGCCCACTCACACGACTTTCCTACCTATCTCAGAAAAGTTTTCAAATATTTAAATATGTACATTAAGAAACAAAAAAAAAATTTAATTAGATTTATTTTCCTGAAAATTTATCAAAGATTTAAGTACGATTTCTTATATATATAATTGGTAAATGGTTGACTGTCGTGGATAATGAAGAGAAGAATAGTTGGGGTGATCAGTCAAAGCAATGTAAACCGGCTTGTGGAAGATCAGCGTATAAAATTCAATACACTCTGTTTCTGTTAAAAGTCGAGAGAAAACTAGTGTTATGCGGGCAACAGATTTTCTTACTTTTCTTTTCTTTTTTTTCTCATTCACTGCTTAGACTCGTACTCTTACAATCGTTAATAGTTGTCCGAAATGAACGATTTTAATATAGTTTTGTAGGGAATTAACAGTAATTTTCTTGGCATAGACAGACAGACCAATGGCTGAAAATGTGTTTTTCGGACTCAGGGGGCTCTGAAACTTATAGATTCGTCGAAAACAGCATGTCGGAAATTTGACCCGATTCCTTACCTAGTATATGTAGATAAGTAAAAACACACAAAACTCAAATTTACGAAAATATGCCCATTATTTATATCAAATTTTTGTAGCTCTAGAGGTCTGTGCTATGAATATTTCTTTCTACTTACGGAACATCATATATAAATTATGTAATATATTTGTTGCATTATGAAGGATGATATTGGTTTTCATTGGCGGATTTAATATTTTACAGAGGTTTGTGACAATTATTCTATGTGCTCTAGGTTTCTATCTATGACCCTGTAGCGATTGGAATTGACAAGGTTCAGCAAATAGGTTGCAGCTGTTTTACTGGTTCCTTAATCAGATGCAAGGACGTTCGACCATACATAGACGGCTACTTTACATCAGGTTACATAAAGAGGAAGAGTGAGCCCTTTAAGAACGAAAAATACTAAAGGGGCCTAAATATTATTATTTATACAATATTAATAAAAATCGCGTCGCTTCTCTTAGTAGAGTAATCAACATAAAAATAATTCCCCAAACCAATTAAGATCCCTAAAACAGATAAGGATAATTTGTACATTTTGTAGCCCTGATGAAGACCCACAACGTGGGTCGAAACGTCGGCGAATCCAACAAAATACTATCATAATGTATAGTATTAAATTTTACCGCACTAACTTCTAAAATTATAAAAAATATCTCTACAACCCCTAAAACAGTTATGTTGCTGGATTAATATCCTTTAAAAAGCCTCTGGACTTTCTTAAATGAGGGAGTGGGTAAAATAAAAAATCATTAGTTTAAATAAAAATTAATCTAATGTTAGTTGAATGGACATTACTTGTACCAAATATATATATACATTTTAAAAAAAAAATCAAAATATATAATTTCCATTAAAATTAAACTACAAAAATAGTAAATCATCGATGGGAGAATAACATATTAAAACTGAGCTTCTGAACCAACCCAGTCCATAACTGAGGTATGCCCTTGGGACACACATATGGCAGCTGCACAAAAAAAAAAAAAACCCTAAGATGGCTCACAAAAAATAGATGCCTCAGTTTAAAAGGCATACTTTTAAATCATCTTATTTTTCAAAAGAAAGTCTGATCGTCTTAAAATCACAATTAACAACATATGCTTAGAAAGTAGTTAATAATAGTCAGTAGCGATCCAGGATTTAATAATTTTTTTTTTGTGCATAGTTTATCAGGAAGAAAAATAAATAAACTACATAAAATGTTGTTTAAAGTGGTTCTTGATTGAAGGCTTGTTTAAAATAATAATAATAAAATGATATTACGATATAATGTTGCTTTTAGAGAAACTTTTTTTGACATTTACTTAAAAAATAAATTATTAAATAAAAAAAAAGCAATTGTACATGCAGTAATTGTAATAATAAGTATCAATAAGTAAAGTAAAGTACATAAATAATAAGAAAGTAATAAAAGTAATGGTATATGCCTAATAATTTAAAAAGAATAAATCCTATTATTGTTTAAGTATTAAGCTCAGATCACTTACAAGAAAAGAATATGACCCTATTAAAAAAATAAATTATTGTTTTTCATTTTGGGAGGTAATTATTCATACAAAAATATCAAAAAATGCAAACAAAAATAAACATCATGGCCTGAGCTATAGGAATTTTTCAGAGGGTTGAATTCTTTTACCTCTTCCTCTCAACAATAAAACTCAACCGTTTTATATCACAATTTTAGATAATATATTTTTAAATGAATAACTTCATCTCTTAACATTAACTCATTTCATTAATTAAATTAAGATTAAAAAAGAAGAAACAAATATTTTTTAGTTAACGTAACACTAAAAAACTGTTTGAAATTTGCCACCTCCTAAATTGTGCTGCCTAGAGCCTTCCTCGCTCTCAGTTCCCTCCCTTATAAACATTACTTTCAAGAAAATATTCACAACCGATAAAATTTTTTTCTTCAAACACTTTAATTACTGGAATGTGAAATTACTTAAAAACCACCACTCACGATAAACAATGCAAAAAAAAAGTTCTTGCTGTATGTTTGTCGGTGGTGTAATAGGTTATGAAAGAATTAAGGGAAGTGCATATAGCACATATATAGATGTTCAAACAAGGAAATTAGAAATAAAGAAATGGTTGTAATCACAGTAAAAACATATACAAAATTTTCTTGCCATATTTTTAAATTCAGTGCCATTTTACTACGTTTATATTAACAGATTTTATACCACAGGTCACTATTAAAACACGTTTTTCTTGTATTCCATAATTTGCCAACGTTTCAGCTTCATGAGCCATTTTCAAGAATCCATATAAATTTTGTAATTTATTTATTTTTCTTGAAAACTATTCAATGTTTGAACTTTCTGTAAATACATTATCCTTATTCTATATTGTCATTATATTAAAAACTCAGAAAATCATATAATTAATTTTGATTATCTTGGTTTAAATTGATGCAAATTACATATCGTGCACTGCAAATGTACTAATAATATAGAATATGGGAAATGTATTTACTGAAAGTTTAAATTGAAATATTTTAAAGAAAAGTGACTAAATTAAAAATTATTTACAGATTCTTGAAAATGGCTCAAAAAGCCAAAACATTGGCAAATAAAGAAACATAATTAAAACCTATGTTTTTGGTGTCCTGTGGCCTAAAATCTAATAAAGAAATTTTATTGATTTTGATTTTATTTTGACAGATAAAATTTTTTTTTTTAATTTGTGTTTCTCACTGACTACAACACATAATGAATTTCCCAACCATATTATTTAAAGTCAACTTTTTCTCCAAAATTAAACAATTTTCTTGTTGGAACACTTATACGTTGACCCTGGGAATGTAATTTCCTAAATTCCTCAAATTACAAATCTACGAGAAAAAGTCAACTTTTTTTAAATTTTATTGCCAGAGCTAATTTTAAATTTAATATCTGCAAATTGTCACTATCAAGACAGTTGCAGATGGAGATTTGAAGATAAAAAAAAAATCTGAATTGTTCTGAATGAACAAACATGTGAGCCAAGTAATAAATATGAAATTATTACTGCACCAGATTAGTATGTGGGAAGAAAAATATAAAATTTCATACCAATGGATTTGAGATTTTTAAATGATTTGTTTTAAATACAGCTGTAATTTCTTGGATGGGAGGAGAGGATAACATGAAAGATCTGTTGGACATTTAATGCATAATGGTATGGATAGGTTAACAAAGATAGTCTAAGAAAGAAACAGCAATTATATCAACAAGAAAAGAACAAAAAAGAGGTAACCTGTGAATTTTTGAAAAAATATTGCAGAGTTCTAGCACGGATGGCATATGACATGTCACTCTAATCAAACCCTTATTGCCTATAGACAAGGTTAGGACTAAAATAAAATAAAATAGAATATTACATCAGAAACATAAATATTGTTTCCAAAATAATATATATTCTATTATTTGACTCCCTGATTAACAAAGTGAACCCTAATAAATTGAGATAAGTATCAATTCTCAGAAAAAACCCAATGAATCTAATAGTTCAATTTTTTTTTTCAATTAGAAAAAATGGTGTGAAAATAAGTTTATTGCTGAAACAAGGAATGTAATGAAACTTGCATTCCTTAAATATTGTTTTAAAAAAAAATAATCCAAAAAAAATTTTAACAGTTTTATTCGAACAAAAATAAAAATAAATTACTCTCATTGTGACATTATTGTAAACAGAAAGTTATTTTTTTATCATACAATTTTTAAAACTTTATTCTCCCCTCTCCCAAATTATACATATTTTTTTTTCAATCCAAAACAAAATCCAAACAACCTTATTTTTGTTTGAAAATGGGCCTTAAAGTTATTTTCTTTCCAAACAGGACCCTATTCCAGTTTCAATATTTTTAAATTACTATTGTAATAATAATTGGCTTTCAGAAATATGTTCCACAATTAAAGAGTTAATTAATTTTTTTTTTAAATATTGGTTTATAAATATCGGGTTATCAAAAAATATTTTGACAATATTACAATTTAAATAGAAAATACCGTTTTTCTCACTTCGTGAAGAATAGTTAGTAATGATTAGCCTTTGGAATTTTCGGAATAAATGATTATAAAAATGAGCATTGAATTATAACACACTAAATTATTTCTGAAAGATTTAAAAACCAACTAAGTAACAGTATGAGTTCAATTATAATTCTTATTAATTAATTAAACTAAAATATAAAAATAATTAATGTGGACAGAGGTCTAACACAATCTGAAAATAGTAAATGAGCTGTTATTTATGCAACAATATGAATTGAAATCAATAAATCTTTTTTTAAAATAGAATGTTATAAATATATTAAACATTCCATATAACCTTTTTCCAAGTCAATAGTTATGACATTACCAAGCTGATAAAGATAAAGATAAATTATACAAACCAAAAAAATCTTTTATCGCCTTGTGAAGCCATTGGAAAAACCTATAGTGCCTCCTGTGACGTTCTGACACTTCAACTGAAACAAAATTCAGTTTCTGTCATTGAGATCCTTTTAAATTGTGGGGCCATGCACCTTATATACAGCTTGGAAACCATCACCGCTGAAAAGCTGCTTCATGTAGAGTCAGGCACAAAATCATAGGAGGAAAGTCATAAAGTGTGCAGAAGAATATTTACAATAAGCTTCAATAGATTTGGAATAAATGGGTAAATTACATCGGATACAGAGCTGTTTCAAGTTTGATTCGCATGCATTTATCAAGAAGGTAATTAATGATTTGGCAGTATCATACAAATGAGTGAACATGAGAAACAGAAAAATAATTAGGACCAACACCAAAATAAGCATAATCTGCATATATTAGAATAAGATTTAAATTAAAACCATGTATCATGTAACTACTTAGTTACTAAATCTTATAATAAAATAAATATATAGTATCATAATATCTATCTTTATAAATACTACAATAGTTTTCCTGCTCTTAGGAGCGATGGATTTTGATGAATGAGGTATCAAACAAAAGGGTATAACATGGAGCAGTGACAAATCATAGTAAAATCCCCCGGAAATTCCACAAAAAAAATTTTTGAATCAAAAGATACTTTATTTATTTGTGAATAACTTAAAAAGTATACTTTTTTTTTTACATTGTACCTACTTGGTTATTTGAAAGGTTTCTAAATTACCTACAAAACAAAATAGAAATCATTGAAATTGGACCATAATTAACAAAGATGTAGCCTATAGAATTATTTTGAATGAACTAATGTGATTCAACTGAGAAAGTGAAATGTATTTCTATTAAGTTTAATCTATATAAGATTATTTTTTATAAAACCCTTTTTTAATCTCACAGTCCTTACAATTTTAAAACATTATTACAATACCTAAAAAATTATTATTTAAGAGGATGGTTGGAGTGATCAGTCAAAATAAATAATTATACTTATTTTTATATTTGCCGACGTTTCAAACCGAAGTTTAGGCCTTCATCAGGGCTAAGAAAAAAAAATTATTATTTTTTAACGTTTCGGCTCCAAGAGCTACTTTCAAAAATTCTTTTTATTCTTTAGAAAAAAAAAAAAAAAAATTAGTTAACATAGAGTCAGTCTAGAATGCAGCACTGTGAAGTTGAACTGAGGATGGTAGAAAAGAAATTAAGGAGAAAGTTTTGATAAAATAAAAAAATTTGCAGATTTTTGGAAGAAAAACAAAGCATTTTATAAGTAATAACACAAGTACCACCATAGATTAGTATTCTACATACAGATATATTTTAAGGAAAACATTTTTTAGTAATAATGTTATTTTAATGTTGACTAATGTTGTTTTTTTTAAAAAGAAAAAAAAAAATTGAAAATGGCTCTTGGACCCATTTAAATATTGTAATAATGTTTTAAAATTGTAAAAACTGAGATTAAAAAAGGGTTTTATAAAAAATAATCTTATACAGATTAAATATAATAATAATTAAAAAATCTCACATAAGATACGAATAACCTAAAGAAGGTTGATTGCCATGAAAATTATTTTTTCTATCTCATGATAAATATCATTAACTTAATTTTATCTATTGACCAATATTCTATATGAGTTATTCACGTGGGCCAACTAGTTTTTTTTTTTTTTTTTTTTTTAAATAATAAGCTTCTATTTAATAATATAAAATATAGCAGGTCCAATATTCACAATCTAAACTGTAGGTCATCATCATGGCTGAAAAATGTATATAATCAGATATACAAAACTACTATAAGAGATTATATTTAATAAATATAGAACCAGTAAAACTAGGTAACATCAGATATTTTATTCTAAATAATATATAGTAGTACATGATTAAAATAAAGCAGTCATTAATGTAGAGAATGATAGGAATACATAATGTGATAATGTATACATGTACTAATGTCTCTACTTCAATCCTACTTTATTACAAACATGGTTCTTCTTCCATTATTTATATTCATATATCTGATATATCGCAGTTTTAACGATTCCATACTCATTAACTTTTATCTCTTATATTAATTTTGTATCTCTTATGTTATACATTTCTCACCCATGATAATGACGCAGAAGTTAGGGTTGAAACATAGCAATTAAAAAAATCCAAAAATTGACTGAGTCCACTTATATGTATAAGTGTCAATTAACTTCCATCAATAATTAATTAAAATATAACAGAATATATTTTATATATATATTTTTTTATTTATTCAGAAAAAATACATTTTGCCTCAATCAAGGGCATTGAGTATTTGAGATATAAGAAACTCATTCATACAATATATACAATTACAAAAATAATAGAAATTATAACAAAAATAAGAAAAAGAAAGCTTAGTAAAACAGATTAAATAAAATATGATGCAACATATTTAAATGAATAAATAAATAAATAAAATGAATAAATAAGAAAAAAAAAACATTTAATTTTATATAAGCAGAAAAATAAATAATAACTTCAAATGGAATCATAACTATAACTGAAAGTAAAATTTAAAAAGTATTATTGACTATAGTGTAAAAGAGAGTAGATATGAATATTAAATTTTATATTATGTTTGTAATATGAAAGAGTTTTTGAATCCTAAGGGGTGTACCAATTGAGCAATTATTAATAAATAAACAGAATCATTTTCAGTTTGAATTAGAGTAACTTCAAGGGAATTATTTTCATAAAATAAATTTAAATATTAAACTTAAAATTATAAACATATCTTGACACTAACCCTGATTTTAACTTAAATAATAAATATGAGAACAGTTGTTATGTTATTCTCATTAACTAAATTATTTTATTTTAATAAAATTATTCTTAAACTTTCCAATAGAATAGGAAAAATAATGATAAAAGAAAAAAACACTTAGAAAGAGATATAAATACCATGTTAGGTAATAAATGGAAAAAACCAACTACAAAGTTTTGTGTCTCTAAATATTCTGGTAAAAACAAAATAACCATTAACGGTTCCCAAATTCAGATGTCTCCAGGTCAGAAAGAAACTTAATCAATTAAAATTCAAAGACAAAATACCATAAATCTCATAATTAAAAAATATTAAAATCCCATTAATAACGGTAATTCACCCCATGACATCCAAACGTACTTATGAAGTTTATACGAGAAAATTAATTAGTTAATTAATACCATAATTTTACTTTCTTTTAAAGGAAAAATAAATAAATTTAAGAGATTTCTCACAAAATATTTCGAGTCTTTACTGGATTAGATATTATATGAAATAACATGTAAAGATAATAAATAAATTATGACTACACGGAACTTTATGTAATTTTGATATTAATTTTAGATATTTATCTAATATTTATATAAGAATTTATCAATTAAGTGGTGTCATTAGCACTTCAGGGACTTCATTCAAAAGGGAAATTATACACTATATAAACTAATATATTTTCAGGGTTCTATATATAAGACAAATTAAAAATCCATTATTTATCAGGATAGTAATGGCAGAGTAATGTTATCGCTATTGTTAAATGGAGGAATTTACAAAAATGGAGATACAATATGAAAATTACAGATTTACCTTATTTTCACAATGGTTATTCTTTATGTCATGAGTTTAAAAGGGTCGAAATCTGAAAATATTATTTCTCAAGATATAATCTTGCAATCTACTTTGGCTCTTATTAAAATCAAGACTAGATCTATCAAATAGAGTTAAGTAGAATAGATATTTAAAATTAAACAGAAATTAAATATCTTTGATATTCCGCTGTATGTGTTGCTCATTCGATCTTGTAGCCCAGTGCTTATAATTGTTTATAAGATATGAGAATATAACTTTGGTAATGATGTTTCATCTTTTTTAGGTGTTTGTAAATATTTTTATTTATAACATCAAACGGTTTGTTATAATATCTTTTTTAAAACTATAAATCAATAAAATATAACTAACTATTTGATTAATATTTCTATTGATGATTACAAAGAGTAAGTATTATTATAATTTTAAGGTAGGGAACCAATAATAACTAAATTTGTTCTTTAAGGAATGCATTTAAGAAGCAGTAGTTCCACAAACTGCCAAGAGGTGGAGATAGGTTAAACTTTCTAAAATGTCTACCTGAGCAGGAGAGCATTAAGTGCTGTTTTGTAGAAAAAATTAAATAATTATCAGTAACGCATATTTGCTAATTGTTAAAGAAAACTCAATTTAAATTACAAATCATTGAAAAAAAAAATTGATTTAATAATTGAGATAAAGGTGAGAGGAGGTGGGGCTTTTTATACTGAATTATACCAGGTTCAAATCTAAAATTGTTATATTCCTTGAAGGAAAATCAGTGAGCTTTGATAATAGATTGAGTTTTTACAAGAGCAGGGTTCCAAAATTAACACATGACTTCAGTAGGGAATTCAGGATATAATTTGGGGGAGAGCTTTTTATTCTTAATTAACGATAATTACAGGAAAATATTGCTCTTAGGGATAAACATTTTACATTTTCCTTGGCAAGTGCTTACATCTACAAGCTGCAACACATGTGTTATAATTTAAAATTAAAACATGTTGTGATTGTTTAAGTATTGATCACAGATCACTCATGTATGTAAATATGGACAATGAAAAAAAATCTCTTTTAGTGAGGGGGGTGACTTCAGCCTTGAATCTTGAACCTGCAGTGAATAATTTTATCAGTTTATGAATCATACAGCTATAATTCTGATTAGACATCCTAGATAATAAACACTATATACTGTACAAATACAGCATGCAGCACGTGATAAGCTGCATTTAGTTTGGTTCTAAATATGCTACCTTACCTCCCTCCCTTGCGAATCTTAAATATTGATTATTTATATTTTAAGTATCTAGTACAATAATGAGGCTTACCATAACATTAGAGCGATTAATATGTGCGAGTAAGATGGCTGGGTTAAATAAAAAAATAATCGGTTTAAAGGTAATTCATCCAGAATTACGGAAATCCATCAGACCATTCCTAAACGCATCGATGAATCCATAAATGGAATTTAGC